GGAGAGGAGAGGAGAGGAGAGGAGAGGAGAGGAGAGGAGAGGAGAGGGGAGGGGAGGGGAGGGGAGGGGAGGGGAGGGGAGGGGAGGAGAGGAGAGACCAAGGAGGAAGACCTCTGCCATGCAGGGCGTCTCCAGGCTGCACACACCTCGTCCTTCACGGCAACCATCGGAACCCCTTCCTCACACAGGCACGTAAGCCTGGGGAGGGACCACGGTCGTGTTTGATGAGGTCCCACAGTCTCCATAGCCTTCCTGTGGAGTGCTCTCTCTCCTACGGACCCTTAGGTGGAAACATTTGCAGTATGTTACCTTATACAGTGACGTGCGGTTGATCTGCTCACTGTAGTTGGGGTTTTCACAAGGTATATACAAAGATTTCCCGATTTCCACTTCTCTACTCCTCACCAGCTTTTCAGAAAAGCAGCTGTGTGCGTTTCTCTTGGTGACATTTAAGGTCCAAGTCTGATTATCATTTCTAAAAAAAAAAAAAAAATGATATAGAGGGATTTTATGATTACTAAAGGGATTTTGCAATTACTTCCATCTTCCCAATTTCCCTGATTTCTATATGAAAAGAGTTATTCAATGATGTGTAAACTTTTCTCTGGTACCCCTTAGGTCAGAGCAGGTTTACAACTGTCATGGGGTGAAAGATCACACTCCAGAGCAGTCTAAGTGTGTATGCGCTCACACACGCCCACACATAGCACATACACACTCACTCACACATACACACCTACATACCAGATATGGTACACACAGCCAGCCATACGGCATGGAGAGCAGAGCAACAAATGTTTCAATGCTGTCTTTGGTGCTGGGTAAGTTCAGATTCGCAGACCAGGGTAGGAGGATGGCCTTAGTTTCAAGAGATCTTCACACAAGTGACGACCGCTTCACTCTCTTGTGACCATCTCATTGTAGATGTAAAAAGACCTGGGAAAGCCCAGGTGTACACACATTTTTTTTCCCTGACACAGGACAATTTAACATGTCTGCTGCTTTTAGGATATGGACAAACACGTCACATGCGTGGTGTGAGCAAACACGCAATTAAAAATGTTTTTACTTGGGAGACAAGATGGCGGCGCCAGGAGAACACTGGGTCTGAGGAGCAGGACAACATTTTCTGGACAGCCAGCGACCAAGAGACTGAACTCTGGGCCCTAAAACAACAGTGATTGTGTTTCCCAGATGAGAGGAAACCCCCACGGTGTGGGAATCAGTCGGGTCCATGCTCATGTCACCCAGCCAGAACCCAGAAGAGATCCAGGGTCTCACAGGCACTAGGTCGCTGGACCAGAGCCACACGCTTGCCTGTCCTGATCACCTTCCCAGGCTGATCAGTGGGCACAAAAAAACACAAGAGACTGGGAGTTCCTGTCAGGAGAAAACCCCACAGGGAAGGAAGGAAACGGTACTGAATTGGGTCACCCAGTCTTTCCCTGGAAAATGTCTCGCAGACCAGCGGGTCAGAGCCACCATCATTGAACTGAGATCAAGCCACAAGCACAGACAGAGCTGTGCGCCCAGCTCTCTGGCACAGACAGAGCTGTGTGCCCCAGGGCACCAGAGACTGGGAGTCACTGTCGTGAGAAATCCTCACAGGGAATGAAGCAAAGGGGATGGACTTAGGCCACCCAGTATATCACTGGAAAAGGCCCCGCAGACCAGCCCAACCCAGGGACCTGCTGGGCACCAGATAGTCTGCTGTTATCAGGAGAGCGGTACCCACCCACCACAGATTACCTCTTCAGTATTGGGGCACAGAGACCCAACCTCAGACCTACAAAAGCCAAGACTCCCCGAGATCAATCCCCAGATACTGCTCCAAGGGGCAACCAGTTATCCCTAACAAAACTGACCAAACCATGGGACACACAGGTTACAGCAGCAGATCACTAAATTCACAGCAAGAAACCCAGAAGCAGGGCAGCTGTCTTCATGACTTCTCTGGGTGAGAGGAGAGCCCTCTGGACTAACAAGGACCACAGTTGCCACTCAGGTCTCTATGCCTGAGGTGAGCAGCGGCAACTCCTGAAAAACACCGGCCATCCAGTGACTATACCCAAAAATCTGAGAAGGCTTCCTTCAGGAAAAACCATCTTCCTGCCAAGGGGATTCTCTCCACCACAGGATTCCAGGAACCACCAGAAACTAACCCCAAACACCTAAGATAGCCCAATGGGTAGAGGCCAGCATAAAAGCTCAACCAACAAAAGCCAGAGCAATATGGCATCTCCAGAACCCAGTTATCCAGGAGCAAGCAGCCCTGGACACCCCAGCATAATTGAAATTCAAGAAGATGACCTAACATCTATGCTCATGAAGAGGATAACAGAGGAAACAAATAAAATGCATAAAGACCTAGAGGAAGATAAACTCAAACAGATTACAGACATCTTTAAAGAAATAGAGGAAGATAAAAACAAACAGATTATGGCCATCCATAAAGAAATACAGGAAGTTGCAGCCAAACAGTTTGTGGCCTTTAGAGGAAATGCTTAAATCACTGAAAGAAATAAAAGAAACAGAGGATTGTTCAAACAAACAGCTGAAGGAATTGATGGAAAAACAAGAAAATACAGTCAGACAGGTGAAGGAAATCAACAAAATGGCTCAAGATCTGAAGATAGAATTGGAAAAATTAAAGAAAACACAAATGGAGGAAATTGTGGCGAGAAAGAATTTAGGGAAGAAAACAGGAACTACAGAGGTTAGCATAACCAATAGACTACAAGAGATGGGAGAAATAATCTCAGGTGTGGATGATACAATGGAAGAAATAGATGTATCTGTCAAAGAAAATGTTAAATCTAAAAAATTCCTGACACAGACCATCCAAGAAATTCAAAACAACATAAAAAGACAAAACCTAAGAATAATAGGAATAGAGGAAAAAGAAGATTCCCTGCTCCAAGGCCCAGAAAATATTTTCAACAAAATCATGGAAGAAAATTTCCCCAACTTAAAGGAAAAGCCAATAAGAATACAAGAGTCCTACAGAACACCCAATAAATTAGACCAGAAAAGAAAATCCTCCCACCACATAATAATCAAAACAGTAAGTACACAGAACAAAGAAAAAAATACTAAAAGCTGCAAGGGAAAAAGGCCAAGTAACATATAATGGCAAACACATTAGAATCACACCTGACTTTTCAACAGAGACTATGAAAGCCAGAAGGGCCTGGACAGATATCATGCAGACCCTAAGAGAACACAGATGTCAGCCCAGACTACTATACCCAGCAAAAATCTCAGTCCTCATAGAGGGGGGAAACAAGATATTCAATGACAAAAACAAATTTCAACAATACCTACACAAAAATCCAGTGTTACAGAAGACACTAGAAGGGAAATACAACCAAGAAAACTAGCTACTTTCAAGAAAACACAGGAAATAATTAACCTCACTACAGTAAAACAAAAAGCAACCAAGCACACAACCTTATGACCACAGCCAACATCAAAATCAAAGGATCTAACAGCCACTGGTCATTAAGCTCTCTCAACATCAATGGACTCAATTCTTCAATAAAAAGACACAGACTAACAGAATGGATGCGTAAACAAAACCCAGCAATCTGTTGCATACAAGAAACACACCTAAGTCACAAAGATAGACATCACTTGAGGGTAAAGAGTTGGAAGACGGCTTTCCAAGCAAATGGACCCAAGAAGCAAGCAGGAGTAGCCATTCTTTTTTTTCTTTATTAATTACAGTTTATTCACTTTGCATCCCCCTGTGGTTCCCTCTCTCCTCCCATCCCAATTCCTCCCTTCCTCCACCCTCTGCATGCATGCCCCTCCCCAAGTCCACTGATAGAGAAGGACTTCTTTTCTTTCCTTCTGATCCTAGTCAATTAGGTCTCATCAGGAGTGGCTGCATTGTCTTTTTCTGTGGCCTGGTAATAGAAGTAGCCATTCTAATAGCTGATAAAATAGACTTTCAACCAAAATTAATAAAAAGAGATGGGAAAGGACACTTCATACTCATCAAGGGAAAATTCCACCAGGAAGACATCACAATCCTGAACATCTATGCCCCAAATACAAGGGCACCCACATTTGTAAAAGAAACATTGATAAAACTTAAACCACACATAGGTCCCCACACATTAATAATGGGAGACTTCAACACCTCAATCTCAACAGAGGACATGTCAACAAAACAGAAATTAAATGAAGAAACAATGTCTCTGACAGAGGTCATGAATCAAATAGACCTAACAGACATTTACAGAACCTTACACCCAAACAAAAAAGAATTTACCTTCTTCTCAGCACCTCATGGAACCTTCTCCAAAATAGACCATATAGTTGGTCACAAAGCAAGCCTCAACAGATAGAAGAAGATTGAAATAATCCCTTGTATCCTGTCTGATCACCATGGAATAAAGCTGGACCTCAACAACAACAGAAATAGCAAAAAGCCTACACACACATGGAAATTGAACAACTTGATAGTAAATAACAGCTGGGTCAGGGAAAAAATAAAGAAAGAAATTAAAGTCTTCCTAGAACTCAATGAAAATGAAGACACAACATACCCAAACTTGTGGGACACAATGAAAGCAGTGCTAAGAGGAAAGTTCATAGCACTAAGTGCCTTCAAGAAGAAATTTGAGACAGCTCATTCAAGCAACTTAATGGCCCACTTAAAAACCCTAGAAAAAGAAGAAGTAGACACACCAAAAAGGAGTAGACGGCTGGAAATAATCAAACTCAGGGCTGAAATCAATCAATTAAAAACAAATAAAATAATTCAAAGAATCAATGAAACCAAGAGCTGGTTCTTTGAGAAAATCAACAAGATCGACAAACCCTTAGCCAAGCTAACTAAAAGGCAGAGAGACACCATCCAAATCAACAAAATCAGAAATGAAAAGAGGGACATAACTACAGACACTGAGGAAATCCAAACAATCATTAGGACTTACTTCAAAAGTCTATATGCCACAAAATTTGAAAATCTAAATGAAATGGACAATTTTCTTGATCGATTCTACTTACCAAAGCTGAATCAGGACCAGGTAAATCAATTAAATAGTCCTATGTCCCCCAAGAAAATAGAAACAGTCATCGAAAGTCTCCCATCCAAAAAAAGCCCAGGACCAGATGGTTTCAGCGCAGAATTCTACCAGACCATCAAAGAACAGCTAACTCCACTTCTCTTCAAACTATTCCACAAAATAGAAACAGAAGGAACATTACCAAACTCATTCTATGAAGCCACAGTCACCTTGGTTCCTAAACCTCACAAAGACCCAACAAAGAAAGAGAATTTCAGGCCAATCTCCCTTATGAACATTGATGCAAAAATACTCAACAAAATCCTTGCAAACTGAATCCAAGAACACATCAAAGATATTATCCACTATGACCAAGTAGGCTTCATCCCAGGTATGCAGGGGTGGTTACGGAAATCCATCAATGTGATCCACCATATTAACAAAGTGAAAGAAAAAAAAAAAAACAACATGATAATCTCTCTAGATGCTAAAAAAGCATTTGACAAAATCCAACATCCATTCATGTTTAAAGTATTGGAGAGATCAGGGATACAAGGCACATATCTAAACATAGTAAAGGCGATATACAGCAAGCCTATAGCCAACATCAAACTGAACGGAGAGAAACTTAAAGCAATTCCACTGAAATCAGGGACAAGACAAGGTTACCCACTCTCTCCATATCTCTTCAACATAGTTCTGGAAGTCCTTTCTAGGGCAATAAGACAGTTGAAGGATATCAAGGGGATACAAATTGGAAAAGAAGAAGTCAAAGTATCATTATTTTCAGATGATATGATAGTATATGTGAGTGACCTCCAAAATTCTACCAGGGAACTCCTATTGCTGATAAACACCTTCAGCAAAGTGGCCGGATACAAAATTAACTGAAAAAAAAAAAAAATCAGTAGCCCTCCTGTATACGAAAGACAAAAGGGCGGAGAAAGAAATTAGGGAAATAACACCCTTCATAATAGCCACAAATGACATAAAGTACCTTGGTTTAACCCAACCAAGCAAGTCAAAGACTTGTATGAAAAAAAAATTTCAAGTCTCTGAAGAAAGAATTAGAAGATATTAGAAGATGGAAAAATCTCCCATGCTCATGGCTTGGCAAGATTAACATAGTGAAAATGGCCATCTTACCAAAAGCAATCTACAGATCCAATGCAATTCCCATCAAATTTACAGACCTGGAAAGAAAAATTCTCAACTTCATATGGTATAACAAGAAACCCAGAATTGCTAAAACAATCCTCTACAATAAAAGATCTTCTGGAGGTATCTCCATCCCTGATCTTAAGCTGTACTATAGAGCAACAGTTATAAAAACTGCATGGTACTGGCATAGAGACAGAATGGTGGATCAATGGAACTGAACAGAAGACCCAGAAATAAACCCACACACTTATGGACACCTGATCTTTGACAAAGATACCAAAACCATACAATGGAGAAAAGATAGCATCTTCAACAAATGGTGCTGGTCTAACTGGATGTCTACATGTAGAAAAATGCAAATAGATCCATACATATCACCCTTCACAAAACTAAAGTCCAAGTGGATCAAAGATCTCAACATAAAACCAGACACATTAAATCGGTTAGAAGAAAAAGTGGAGAATACCCTAGAACTCATTGGCACAGGAGACAACTTCCTGAACAGAATACCAACAGCACAGGCTCTAAGATCAACAATCAATAAATGGGACCTCATGAAACTGAAAAGCTTCTGTGAAGCAAAGGACACCGTCATCAAAACAAAACAAATGCCTACAGATTGGGAAAGAATCTTCACTAACCCTTTATCTGACAGAGGGCTAATATCCAGTATATATAAAGAACTAAAGAAGCTGAAAAGCAGCAAACCAAGTAATCCAATTAAAAAATGGGGAACAGAACTAAACAGATAATTCTCAATAGAGGAATACTGAATGGCAGAGAAACACTTAAAGAAAGTTCAACCTCATTAGCCATTAGGGAAATGCAAATCAAAACGACCCTGAGATTTCACCTTATACCCATCAGAATGGCTAAGATGAAAATCTCAAGTGACAACACATGCTGGAAAGGTTATGGAGAAAGGGGAACCCTCCTCCACTGCTGGTGGGAATGTAAACTTGTACAACCACTCTGGAAATCAATCTGGCGCTTTCTCAGACAACTAGGAATAGTGCTTCCTCAAGATCCAGCTATACCACTCCTAGGCATATATCCAAAAGAGGCTCAAGTACACAACAAGGACACGCCTGCTTCCAAACGGGAGGAAGTTCACCTAACTTGAAGCCATGGCCAAAGCATCTTCACTATCATCAGGCCGTGGGTATGACTCTTATGACACACAACCTTCTAGCATGCTTGAGGGGCTCTCTCTGAACTCTCTTTGAACCCTGAGATGTTCCTGCTCCCCCCCCCCGTGTCTCCATGCTGCTCTCTTATTCCCTCATAGTGATGGTCCTTCTTTCAGCTGTGCTATCGTCCTCCAAGTCAGGAGAAGGGACAGCAAACACCCTCTGTCTCTGTCTTCTCCCCAGGGTGACCACGGCCGCTTCTTTCTACCGCGTCCAGAACGCCCAGGTCTTCAAGCCACGTCTATGCAACCAAGACAGTGAGGACTAGGGTTGTTTCTCTTATCCGTTCATCTTTAACTTTCTCTAGAAAGATCCAGTTGTAACCTATTTATTATTATCTGTCTTAAAAATGTCACATAAACTGCTCTGTTAAAAAAAAAAACAAAAAAAAAAAAACAGCTCTGCAAATTACTCCTGACACTCAGAAGTTTCTGTGTCTAATGAACAACTATGACCTCATTTTGTGAAAAACCACAGGAGCGAAAAAGTGGCTTTGCTGTGAAATCTCACTTCTCTCTCCAAGGCATACTGATAATGATCAGGGCTCACTCTAGAGTGAAGAGACATTTCTAAACGAAATCTGCCACACCTCCCAGCACAGTGCCGCCACCCAGGGAGTTAGAACTGAGAGACTTCTTACAGGGAATGTTTACCCACGCGTGTGTGCGAGTGCCCCTGTGTGCATACATATGTACACGCGTGCTCCCTCTCTCACTGTGGCTATTAGTTTGTGCCTGGGTAGCAACTATAGCTTTCCCCCAGGAACCCTGCCTCTTGTTCCCCAAGAAACTCTGAAAACTAGGCTAGGGTGTGTTCCCATCAATCTTCCCCTTTCTCTGAAGCCTGAACAGGCCAACTGGGCGGCTGCCCCTACTGTTCCTTCCTCAAGTGCCCTCACATTCTGAAACCCTCGCTACTAAACCTTGAAACCCACCTGAATTTCATCTCCACTTGTCCTTAACAAGGGCCCCTAAAAGCAATTCTCACTAATCATTTATTAAAATCACTGAAATAATAAATAGAGTGATTGGCTTAATTTTTCTGCAATGAAATATTTGTTTCCTGTTGGGGAGTGAGCAGGGGGAAGAAGCGTGAACTATTTGAGCTTACAAATGTATATTTGAGTTGTTGAGCCAAGCCCAAGCCTCCCAGGAAATACGTTAAACACAGAGTCACTCACCCCACTCGGGAAGAGTATGTTCCCTCATCATCCAGCTCAACTGGCCAGAATTCCAAAACATTACTGTGAAGAGTAATCCTGGACGAGTTTTCAGCGGTCAGCTCCTCATATCCACGAGGGCCACTGTCTTTGAACCACCGGATGCTGGCTGCTTCATTCTTGTGCACAGAGGCAGAGGTGTCACAGGGCTTCAGATAAAAAGGCTCTCCCTCGACCACGTGGATTTGAGAGCGGAGAATGCAATTTTCTACAGCAGATCGATTAAGAAGAGGGAGAAGCAACAGGACAAAGGTGACTTTTCACCCCTTCAGCATAAAACATAAGGTCAGAAAGAAAGCTACATGAAATCACAGCATCTTGTCCTGTGCTGGCCTTTGTCTGAAGAGACGGCATACCTGAGATAAGACACTTTCAGAACCAGGATGGAGATAAAGCTGAGGGCTCCTGCTAAGCAGAAAGCTGAGGGGCTTAAGCAGCCCTCACTTGAGACATTGTGGCATCCTTGTTACAACTGGTGCTTCACAACCTACTGTTATGAGAAGACACAGAAGTCACAGGGTCACCTGCCTGAAAATGTCAGCACTGTGGAATCTCCGTCCTCATTTGTATCTGTTGGTATAATGTTCTTCTGGAATGTATACAATTTACCCTTGCTCATTCACATTCTGATTTCTCTACCTCACTGTCTGGTTTCAATCTGGACATTGCATTGTGATGCTTATTCGAAGCATCACCTGCCTCAAGTTTGTGTAAACATGCCACCATTTGTTCTCTGTATTGTCAATAAAACAACCAGCCAATGCTGGGCAATGGAGAGAATAGGGTAGGACATCCTGGTCTAGAGGGGAGGAGAAAGAAGCGAGTGGGAGGCATTGGGAAGGGAGATCAGCAGGAGAGGACTTGGAACCAGGAGGAGAGATGAACCGGACCTAAGATGTGACTAAAAGCCAGTATAATGTAGGAAATCTGAATGGGAGGAAGCTCTGTGGGCTTGAAGGTATAGGATGGAATAACTATTGCCCAGCATTGCACTCTAGGTTAATAAAATAAACCCTAGTCTCTGTGTGGTGATTTGGGTTTACAGCTGGCTTAAAAATAACCACTGTTTAACTAAAAGATAAATCAATAATAAATGTTAATATTCAACAACATATATCACAACAAGCCTCATGTCCTTTGTGCCCAGCAAGTCAGTCTACTTAATTCTGGGAAGTTTGGAAGAAATAACAGAGTTCTTGGGTAGCTGGCATGTTTGCATGTAACTAAGCCAGAAATGATTAGTGTAGAGCACTCCCCATACAGGCTCCCTTTCTCTCCCTGTCTCTCTACTTCTCAGCCCAGATTCTTTGGTTTGGGAAATTTATTTATTATCTATCTATCTATCTATCTATCTATCTATCTATCTATCTATCTAT